TATGGAACTTATGTCAATTAGCTGTTAAATTGGGCCATATTACGATGGTTATACTAATGGGCCTTAAAAAGTGAGATAATGGGCCGTGAAAGTAATACAGTTTCAAAAGGGATCAGAGGATAAGCCAATTCTGGATAAACACTCTTTCTTCTTCATTCTCCTTCTGGAGCAGAGCTCCTTCGTCAATCCCAGCAATGGCTTCCTCGCTCGTCTCTTCTTTTCAAGCCAGGTACCATCGAGATACTAAAAACCCTTATCCTCGAATCTCATTTCTACGTACCACTAGGGTTTCGATTTCCTTAGTTCGCATTCCTATTCAGAATGGGGTTCATGAGCCTGACAAGTATACAAAGAATCTCTGAGAATAATGGGTTCCTTTGATAGTTTAATATTTCGGAATCTATGGGAATGTCGACTTGGTTGGTGATTTTTGGAATTGTGGATTTGTAGTTCGGAAATTTGAGTGTGTTAAAGCAAAAAAACTCAATTTTGAGTTTCATAAAAGCTCGATTCTTAGAGGTTTTTAGCCATGGAAACTGAAAGTTTATAACAAAATGTATCTGTGGTACTCTGGTTTGAATCCTAATTGTAGAGGTAGAGCTGTAATGTTTCCTCTGTAGATAGATAAACTATTCTTTGTTTTTTTCAGCAATGTTAGGTCAGCATTTTTGGGAGATAGAAATGTGTTCAAGGTCTCATCAACAACGCCATTTGCTCAAGTTGGTTTCTCTAGTAAGACCATTGAGTGTAAGGAATCAAGGATAGGGAAGCAACCGATCGCTGTACCATCCAATGTGACCATAGCACTAGAAGGTCAAGACTTGAAAGTGAAAGGTCCATTAGGAGAGCTTGCGTTAACTTATCCACGCGAAGTTGAGCTCACCAAAGAAGATTCCGGTTTCTTGAGGGTCAGGAAAACCGTCGAAACTAGAAGAGCCAACCAAATGCACGGCCTTTTCAGGTAACAAAGTTCTCACATTTTCTATCAATTGATTGCAATGAATTCTTTTGTTATCAATTGGGACAGTAGCTTTCTTACATATTGTTTGGTTATTAAAGTCTGTAACTTTTGAAGATCATATAAGTTGTTTGTTCTAAAGCCTTTGTAACTTTTGTGTGTGTTTTAGGACGCTGACCGATAACATGGTTGTTGGAGTATCAAAGGGTTTCGAGAAAAAACTCATCCTAGTCGGTGTTGGTTATCGTGCGACAGTAGAAGGGAAAGAGCTCGTACTGAACCTCGGGTTTTCTCACCCGGTTAAAATGGCGATACCAGACAGCCTTAAAGTGAAAGTAGAAGAGAACACAAAAATCACCGTGAGTGGCTACGATAAGAGTGAAATCGGACAGTTTGCTGCGACGGTTAGGAAGTGGAGACCACCGGAGCCATACAAGGGTAAAGGAGTCAAGTATTCCGATGAGATTGTTCGGAGGAAAGAAGGCAAAGCTGGAAAAAAGAAGTGATCTTGAGATTCTCATTGTTATACATATTTTACCTTTCTGTTGATGTTAATGTGTATTTGCTCAACTTTGTTTAGATTAAAAAGATGTTTTTGTTTTTGGGATTCTGAAGAAATTTGAAAGGAACCCATTGTTGTTCTTAATGGTCTTAAGAACTATCATCTGAATTGTGAATTATTGTTCAAGATTCAATATGTAGAAAATTTACTTTTTCTTTTTAAGAAAGAAAAAAACTTATAATCAAAAGCAAGATTGATAATTTCAATTTGGGTTTTTTAGTCCTCCTCTTGTG